CCATTCATTGGGTCAGATTGTCTGTTTTTGTGTTAAAGAGGGTACAGATTCAAATCTTTTCTGGCCATGTTAGAGAGACCACATGCCTTATCCTGAGTCCTCAATCAAATGAGCCAAGGCCTCTTCCTTTGCAGCCCAGGTAGAGGGTGCATGAAGAGAAGGAGGTATATTCAAGAATTGCCAAGCTTACTTCTCTTTTAAGAAATCTTCATGAATGCAGGCAAATGTCTCAAGGTACTCTTAGTGAAGACCGCCATTTATAACAGACCTAAAACAGGACTTGGATTAGCCCAATCATCTCTGGAAATCTCACGCTGTGAACTACAGATTTCTACCAGGCAGCTAGGGACAACAAATTTCTCATAATAGAAGTTACATAAAGAGTTTCATGTCACCCTAATGCTCTCCATACTGAGATCACTTAAAGACTATCACCACAATTGAGGTCTGGCCTTTCATTTTATGGGTGAAAAGAAAACTGGACATTTCCAGATACCCAAGATCTAATAAGTGGCTAGTGCTCAATAAATATTAGATATTAATATCCTTATTCTCTTGAACTCTTAGGTTTTTTGCCAGGTTTGGGGAGTTTTCCACTGTTGCTGTCTATATGCAGAAATTCCTAAATTTCTTCTATGTGTCTCACCCTGTAAAACAATGGTTAACTTTTGAAAATGGAGAAAGAGCAAATTTTCTAACTGTTATTGCCTGCTGTAGCATTCCCTCTCTTGCTCCAAATAGGGAGAACATGTTTGGGGTGTAAACATATACGTAGGAACTACTCTTGTGTGAATGGGAATGAACACTTCTTTGGCTTCTGAGGAACCAGCTGAGAATGGAGAGGTGAAGACTGACTGATTCATAGGAAATACATGGAATATCTAAATTCAAAATACGATGTTTCTCATTTCAACTTAAGAACACACAAAACATCTCTTCTTAAAAGAGAATTCTCTTGATGAGCTACACACTGCTACAAAGTATGAAAATAGTGATAGTTTTGCTCTGTATTATGGTCAGACCTTGCCCCACATGGGCTTATCCAATTGCACATTCTGTGTCATATTTACTGCTGTGGCAGTGGAATTGAGACTGAGAGGTTACACAGTTTGATTGAATCCCCAGCTAATAAATTGTAGAAGAGCAGTGTGAATTGGGTTCTGCCTCTATTTCCCACTGCAAAGAGAAAAGAGAACAAGACAGAAAGAGCTTGGAGGAGTCAAGGAGATGAGGGAACTGGAGCAGGACTGACATTTGATAGGTAAGTAAAAGTAAAATTCAGAGCAAAGCAAACTCACTAGGTTTTAGGCACTATATAATTTAATCTGTAGTAGAATTTTGTGGAAAGAATCAGTGGTTGACCCAGTGTGGCTGCCAGCAAAGGGTACATTTTGAAAATTGAGTAGAGTATTTCTGTTGCTTGGTCTTGGGATGAGAGTTGGGCAGAGATCAAAGCCAGAGAAGACATTCAGGAAACACATTTCTTTAACTGCCTGCAGGAGGAAACTTTTCACAACTGGAAAATGCAAGCCATTACTGCCAGCCCTGGAGCATGGAGACTTTACTTCATTAATCATAGCTGTCAGGATCCTTTCCATAAACAGTAAGCTGTTGACATACAAAATATCTTCTGTTTTTCGTAGAAAAGCAAAAGGGGTAGATAGTGAAATATATAGGTCACCAAACTAAATGCTAGCTAGAGTCAAAATAGAATGTTTCATGCCCAGACTGAACCCAAGGTAATGCAAAATCCTGGAAATCCTTAAGAGCACAGTTTTATATTTAAATATAACTCAGGTAGATAAGCTCTTGTGAAAAAAAAATGCAGAAAAAATAGAGATACAGTGATGATGTTTGAGATAGTTGATAAAGGGAGGATGTCTAAACTTTTCTGCAATTATAGTTGTTTTCTGGTAATAGCCAAACATGTGAGATATGCTTGTGGTTGTGCGTCTGTATTTTAACCCATCAAGCAGGGAAGCCAGAGCTTGGAGTAGTGGGTCAGAATTGGAGCTTAGATTCAGAGGGTCAGCTGGGGTCCACACATTACCTGGTATTATCAGAAAGAGCAGCTATATTCTATGCCTGCCTATCCTGATCCTGATCCTCCTGATGAGAGGAAGGTGGTTTGGAATCAGAAGGAGAAAATACTAACATTAAATGCAAATGAGGAGGAAGAGATGGAATCCAGAGTTGGAGAATTAGGTCAGTTGCGAGAGCAGACGGGAAAGTGTTTTTCTGAGACAAAAAGGAAATATTTGTACAGTATGAAGACAAGTTACTGCTGTTTTCAACACTACCCCCTTAGAGCCTTCATTCTCTGTAATTGATGTGGCCTAGTAACTACCTAAGTGCCTTTCTGCTTCTACTTTGCTGCCCTGCAGTCTGATCTCCTTTTATAGTAGTCTTTTTCTGTAAATCAGATCTTCCCTTTCTCTACTTAGGTCCCCCATTGCCTTCCCCTAGAAACTGAAATAATTTCCAAATTTCTTATTGTGGCCATTCAGTTCTTCTATTACCTAACTCTCAGTTCTCCTCTACTCAAAGTCTTTCACTGTTTTTCTGATTTGTTCTGCTATAGTCCCATTGCCTTTTTTTTTCCTTTTCTTTTATTTTTCCCACATAAATTTTCCTCAGCTTCATTTACCAGGAACACTCTTTTGCTCTGACATTTACATTTTTGGCTTCTACTCAAGATTTAAGGTTCTTTTCAAATATCCTTCCTAGTTATTCAGAGAGGTCTTTTAAAACCACCTAATCTAAAATTAGGCACTGCCTAGCATTATATTTTTGAGCTTGGAAAACCTGCCTGAATGAGAAATCTTTATATGAGAGCCTAGGAAGTACTGACAGAATAATTTACTAGCTGTAAACAAATATTGGGCCACTATCTCTCAGATGGTGAATTCTATGAATGGTCCTTGCCAATTCAGTATCTATAAAAATTTTCTCATGGTCAAACATGACAATCCATGTGAAAGTGCATGGAAAAAGTAAGATTTGACATGAAGCCAGCTGTTCCTAGGCAAAGAACCATAGAGTGGCACATGCAGGTATAAGGAATTTATAATTCCCAAAATGAAATCATGCAGAGAAAGAAAAATTTTATCTGAGATAACTTGGATTTGAAAATTTTTCAGTTAAGAAATTCATATAAGAGGCTAGAGTTGTGGCTCAGCGGTAGAGCACTCGCCTAGCACATGCGAAGTGCTGGGTTTGATCCTCAGCATCATGTAACAATAAATAAAATAAAGATATTATGTCCAACTACAACTAAAAAAATATTTTAAAAAAGAAATTCATATAAGGGAAATGTTCATTTCACAGGCCATTTATCATAGATTCTAGAATAGAAAATGAGTTAACAAATGATGGGTTCAATCTCCTGCCTTAAGAGAGAGAAAGCACCATTTAGATGTTATTGTGGGGGTAGAGGGGTCAGACTACCTGTGCTTAAATCTTGACTCTTAGCCAAGTGTGAAATCTTGGACAAATCACAACAAAACCCAATATTGTGTGTACTTATATTTTTTAAACATAAAAATATAATGTCTACCTGAAATGAAATCCTTGGAAGATTTTTGTAAGATGACTTACAGAAAATGCTTTGAGTCATGCTTCTTCAATAAATGCTAGCTATTTTTATCTTCATTTTGCAAACAAAGTCACTGGATGTCAGAACATCTAAGATATTTGTTCAAAATTGCACAGCTGATAGATTGTGGGAAAAGATCTAGCACCCAGAACTTTTGACTCTTGAAGCCTTGTGGATACAACTAAGCCTTTTGAAAGGATTTTTGCTGTTAAACATATTTAATGACTACAGTAAACATTGACAACAAGCAATGTGTTCTTACCATATCATTTCTTTTTCCTAAAGAAAAAGATACACATAAAGATGCATAAAAAGAGCTGGAAGAAGACAGATAGTGGGTGTGTGGCAGAAGGAGTTTGAGAGTATGAATGAGTTTCTTTTCTTTGTGCTCATTATCTTTTCTATGCTATCAACACCCAGAATTTAAGGCTTTATATTCAGAAGAAAAGTTACACATCTATACATCTTTCTTGGATACCTTGTATGGTGGCGCATAAAAACTATTTGATGAGTGGCATATCTACTGGGACCCAAACTTTAGAAATTGTATTCATTAAAGACCAGTCCAAATAAAAATTACTAAGTTGCTTTATAGTATCCAATTCCATATACTAGTGAATTATTGTTACATATTTTTGTATTCTATTTCTAATCAAAACTTTAGGCCTCCGAATGTTTTCCTTCTTATATTAAGCCTGTGTAAACCACACATTTAGTGTTTCTATTTCCTACCCAAATAATATTCCATATTAAGATGATTTTAATAATCATCCTCTGAAAAAGTCCTGAAGCTCTTTACATAAATTATTAAAGTAGTTTACAGTCTAAGTTTTAAGGCTTTGTCAGAAAGTTTTGAGCCTGTTTTGTTAGCAGAATTATATACAGGAGTTTAAAAAGCAATGGAAAGTATGTGAACTGTTGAGCAACCTCTTTGTGTTGCCATGCATAACATACCTGCTGACTTCTGGAGGATTCTGGTGAAATCCATGGGACAGGCTTTGATCTTGCAGAGGCCAAACTAGTCTGTTGTCTTTCACCAACAAGCTCCAGTTAGATAAATACCTACCAAATGCTTCCTCACATGGTCAGATTGAGAGAGTGAGAACTAGTGGTGCAAAACAATGCATCTCACAAATTATCAATGAATTATTATATAAGCACAGAATCCAATCATCTTCTGACTGAAAGACAGTTTTGGGCATCTGAACCATAGAGACAGCATTTGGAACAGATGGCTAGGGGCCCCAGTGGACCCCTATCCTCTACATTCTTCTTTTATTTGATCACATGTCACTCTAAATAAGCATCAATGAAGTACATAAGACATTGCACAGTTTTAACCTTGCTGAAAGTGTCTAGGACTTCTGGGCAACAGCCAAAAAAATAATGACAATAATAAAAGCAGTAATAACAACTAACATTTATTGAGGATTCACTCTATCTTGGACACTGTTATAAAAAAGTGCTTAAAATGTATTACTGTCTCTTTTAAAATTCCTCATACAGTTTGCTATCAGAATTAAGGGAATTAACTCAGGCAAAGTTCTTAGCACTGGGCCTTACCACTATATTGACTTACCAGTAAAAATTTGTTGTTACTGTGTTTGGTAATAATGATCACAACAGGAACAATTGCCTTCTGCTCCAAATAAAACTTTAAGAGGCTCTATTAAACTTTGGGTCCACAGATACAGTCCCAAGGCATTGTAACATCTCCAAATCACCAACATCTGATGGAGATGAGCATCTGATGGAGATTAAGAGATCAACAAATATTTATGAAAACAGGTAAGACCCCAAATTGTATAGATGTGTTTGTGAGTAGATTTCTCATGGAAGAGAGCATGTGGTTTTGTCCAGACTCTAGATGTTTCATGGTCTGAGAAGTAAAAGACCACTGCTGTAATAGAGAATGTGTCACTGTGTGAGTAAGGAAGACTAATGAGAATAATGAGGAAGTGGAGAGGAAAGATCTCAGTGGGCTGGCTCTCCACCATCAGAGGGTTAGAAAAGCCTGGTGCTGCCAGCCTCTGGGCTGGCTGTTGGGGCAGCCCCAGCTCCCTCCCAGCACCTTGAAGCTCCCATTTACCCTCTCAACCATTTACATAAGACTCTGAGGGATTACTGGCAATATGCACATCTAGCCTTGAATGGAGTAATTCAATGCTGGATACTTTCCCTCTGGTTTTGTAGGAATCATAAAAGACTAGCACTGGAAAGAACCTCATACATAATCTATTTCAGGGTTTTCAAATTTGTAGCAGATGTGTGGCCACTCCTCTTCCTGCACCCAGGGAAGACATCCCTAATTGGGGACAGCATTCTTTACTTCTGTGCCTTTTGAATTCTTCTTAATATAATATTCTATGCAACCGTTACTGATTGATTGAATTATCACATACAAAGAAACCAGTTTTTCAGCCCTATCACATGTCCAAAATCTTCATATTAAAGTTGGGAAAATAAAAAAGATGGCATTTGATATATCTGGGAATTATATGTCTGAGCACCTTGAAGTGATATGACAATTTTGAGACAGGAAAGGATGCTGTCTTCGATCTACGAACTGTAACTACCAAATATCATCTTTGTCCTTGCTGGTTTTTTATTTTTTCCCTGATTTTTTTTTCCCCACAGAATAAAAAAGGAAGCCCTTCTAAGTGGTGATCATTGAACTCCTTCCCCCACACAAATCTGCAAGGCAGCTAAAAGCCATGAATGATGAAAAGAAATTATAAATGAGGATTTTAAGTGCTGTTCTATAAGTTGTCCTATTGCATTTCATAAAATAGGTAAGCAAAGGACTTAGCCTCCAGCCACTTTCTCTTCTCTTTCAGTATCCTTGAGGAAGAACAGTCTAAGAAAGTCCTACAATTAAATCTAGGAGTCCTGGGGCTCTTAGAGCTAACTGAGTGGGGATCACTCAATTACCCTTTTGAGGCCTCAGTTTCCCCTACTGTAGTAGGAAGATATTGGAACTTCATAGAAATAGTTCAAAACTGGTCATAGAAACTGGTTTCCTCACGTATGGGAGAAAAATAAACGACTTTTCTACTCAACAGATGAACAGGAACATTCATTTATTTTCCTGTGAGTGTATGTATGTGTGCGTGACAGAGAGGGTTGGGGAGAGAAGCATATTTATGGTGATGGTGAGGACTGGCCAGAGGAAGATATGAAATAAAGTGAATTTTCACCTTTTAAAGCTGTTGAGTAAATAACATAGACTCAGCTTTGAAATGATTAAGCATCTACTATGGTTCTAGCAAATTAAAATAAAATGCTCCCTCTGCACAATGAGGGTGAATAAAGTATGAGCTTCTTTATGTACTATTCCAATTGAGTCTATGGGAGAAGTTGGAGAAAATGAGTTTTTAAGTAGAGCAGCAGAGATTAAATTTAAAGTTCTGGCACAAGCTAGTTTTTTTTTTTTTTCCTCACAAGGATGGTAAGGGTTAGCAGGGAGGGGAGAATTGCTAAATGCATAGCTTTCCTTCTTCCTTCTTTATCATACACGCTAAGTAAACTGGCTTAAATCCCATCCTCTCTCCTTTGCATGGGCCTCTCTTTGAAATATGAAATGTACAGATATAAATTAGAAAATAAGCCAGTATTATGTGAAAACACATTTATTGGCTGAATAATAAAACTTAGCTAAGGAGTTATTAGAATTAGAATCCCCCCCCCCCCACTCCTTGAAATACAAGTTTCTAATAGGCAAAGAGAAGCAAAACCCCTGAATGAGAAAAAAAATACATTGACAACTTCAATCATAGGCTTCTGCATGGGGTGTTCAAACTACTTTTTTGTAATTGACTCTTGCACTGATGACAAAGCATAGACACACAACGAGACATAACAAATCAGCATATCAACATGAGAGGGCAACTACCACAAAGCTTAGACTTCTTCAGTGTTGCTGCTGAAACTTACATACAGCCACAGAGGAAACTTGCAAATCTTCCTATAAAGGATGATTTGCACATAGTTTCCCAACAATATGCTTACAAAAAAAAAAAAAAAAAAAAAAGCAAAAACAAAAACAACTCACAGACCATGGTTAATAAATAAGAGAGAAAAGCAGAAGAAGCAAGCAACTTCCATGGACTGGCAGGCATAGAGAGCAACACCTTGGACCTCATTTGAAAAACAGTCACTTTGTTTGTAAAGCCCAAGAGAGAAAGCTGAAGGTGAAAGGAGCTTGGCACTATGCTCCTTGGGTATATCCCCATAATCTCCAGGAAGGGGAAGTTTAATCAGTCTCTCCTGCATAGCCTGTATCCTTTTGGATGTGGCTGAAACAAATATCTCTGCAGAGTTATTTTAAAGCCCACTAGGAAAGAGGGGGCATTGCTTTCAATCGTTCTTTCCCACGGATAGATAAATCTGCAACAATCACATAAATAATGCACAGAATTAAAACAACCACTTCACCTTTCAACCCTTTCTTTCTTTTTTAAAGATGATTTCAGATTCATTCTCAAAGTGCAAATCTGGATATAAAATATTATAAGAGTAAGGAAAAATTTAGCCCCCTCATCTATCCCCCACCCTCCACTACAGAGCTGATTTGATTGCTCTCTCTGGCATTTGTGCCCTTCCACCTCATACTTTAAGATAATCGTTTTTCAGCCGACCTAGCCGAGTCCCGTGGCTCCTGATGGTGAGGGCCAGCAGCTCGTATTTGTCCCTAAGCCCTGTGGAGATGTCCAGCGTTTCTTTCAGCAGGGACTTGGTGTGGACCAGCATCCCCAGGAAGTCCTCATTGAGCCGACTCTCCTGCCGGCTGTCCTGTTCCTGGCCCTGCTTGAATTTGCTTTCCAGCTCAGTGAGGGACTTGTCAGAGTTGGAGTAGGCATCCCCGATCTGGTGGGACTCCCGCCGCAGGTACTTGCCATAACTCTCTTCCCCATCCAGGTCGTAGGAGATGCTCTTGCTGATGCCCTCCAAGACGCGCCCAGCATCCTCCACCTGGCGGCCCAGCACGGTGAACTCCTCTCGAAGGGTGAGACTCATCAAGCGACTGGCCTGGGTCCCTTCCCCTTGGGAGCAGCGCCGACGGTCACTCACCCTGAAAAGCAGCTGGCACTTCTCGGGGTCATCGTTCTCCTCATAGTCCCCATCGGGCACGAAGTAGTGGTGCAGAGTCCCATTGGACATTTCTGGGTAGAGAGGGCCGTCAAAGTAGCCCTGACACAGGTGGCAGAGGAAACCCATCCAGAGGAACTTCAGGACCATCATTCTGAAGATTCAGGATGACCAGGGACCCCAGGAGAAGACGCTTTTGTCCAGGAACAAGGAAAGGGGTCCCCTGGGGAGTCAGTGCCTTCCTGAGACAGCGTCCTCCTCAGTCCCCGCCGGCTTGCTGCACCGTGGCCCCTGCACCCCAGCAGGCTTCATGTGGCTGTGGGCGACAGCGCCTGGGTAGCACTGCCCCGCAACAGCGCAGGGTGCACCTCGCTCTGCGTTTGCTCAGTGGCTGGAACTCCCGCTCTCTTGCAGCCCAGACGGGATCACAGGGCGGAGGGGAGAAGGCCTCCTGCAGAGCGCTGCACGTCGCTGGCTCGGTTGCCCCTAGCTCCTGGGAGATGGAGCGTGTAGCTAGAGAGAGAAGCTCTTGCTTTCTGACACTTTCAACTTCTGGACTGGGTGGGAATACGGAGGGAGCTTTTCCTTTGGCTAAAGATATCCTAAGGATCTCTGGGCTCTCAAATTACAGCTGGTTTCGTCACTTGGAAGCCAGGGAACAAGTTTGGAAAGAAACCTTTCACCAGGTCTCTGTTATTAAAGGTACAGGGTCTCTTTTTAAAGATTGGAAGGAGACATCCTGAAAAACAGAATTCAGCTTGAAGGGGGAAATGAGAAGAGAAAAAGTAGAATTTCTAAAACAAAAAGAGAGTTTTGCTATTAACATACTGCAGGGAAGTATGCTATTAACATACTCTGGAGAAATACCATTTCGTAAGTTTAAATACATATCAGGTTAGATTTGTGGAGTACATCTATTTTCATCTTTAAAACAATTGCCCTTGAAAACAAATTTGGAGTGTTGGAAATGGCAGTTTTGCTTACAAATGCTTAGTTAAAATTTATAAAAACAAAACTTTCAGAGCAATAGGAATAGACAAGTGATTGATACACCATTGCTCATAGGCATATGACAAAAAACAAAACAAAACAAAACAAACAAACAAACAAAAACACCTGCAAATGGATTTTTTTCCAATTTAATACGAAAAAGGACAACTGAGATCTTTATTTAACTTTTATGGAAAACCATCCATACTGAGCTCCTGTACTGATTCTTTAACCTAAGACTTTACAGCTATTGCCTCTTCTGAAGTACTTTGAAACTTTTGGAGAGTACAGGGTTGGCAGAGTTGTCTTCATTTTCCAAAAGGAAATAAGAAAGGGTAGGGTGTTAAACAAATTATTTAATACAGACTAGTTGAACTATTAAGGTACACAGTCTTTTAATTTCATTTGGAAGAAATCCTTACTTTTTTCATGAGGCAGTTAGTTTCTTGTTTGTGAATTTACTAGCAAATGTCCATTTTACAGGCCATTTATTTGCTCAATAAATGTTTCTTTAGCATTTATTTTGTGCCAGATTCTATTTTAGGTACTGGGAATGGAGCAGTGAACAAAAACAGAGACAAATAATTGTCCTCCTAGAGCTTTCATTATGGGAGATGGAGAGACAATCAGTGTAATATAAATAAATACAATGTTTGTATGATAGACAGTGGTGTGACTGTAGAAAAACAAACAAACAAATCAAAACAGGGAATAGGTGAGAAAGAGAAGCAGTGCTTCTATTTCTTATTTGAAATGTAAACGAATGATTCATGTTGATTGGCCAGTGGCTATCTCTCTCCCTCCTCTAATCATAAAGGACAGGTTTCATTGAGAAACTCAGTGCCACACAGTTCTGAGATTATCACTCTCATTGTCATTGCTTTTGTTGACCTAAGCCACCTGGACTCCTGGATAAACAAGGGAATTCGAGTTAAGTAACTGGATATTTTTTCAAAGTGCTGTCATATGCATAGATTTTTTTGAAGCATGTTGGCTGCACGTTTTAATTCTTATTCAGATACTTAGCATCATGCAACATAGACCAAAGGAGTTTTCTTAGTGTTTTTGCCAACTAGAAAACTACAGCTAATTTTCACCCTTCCTAGCAAAATACTACAACCTCTTCTAGTTTGCAGACTGAACTGTTGGACTCACAAGTTGCATTGCTTCATTCCTTTTTCCCTGGGACATTCACAAGTGACAACAGATGGATTCAAATTGGCTGTTTGGCCAAAGACGAGAGGAGGAATTTACTCTGATTCACTCCATTCTTGCACAATTCCCCCAAGATTTACTAACCAATTCAATTAAGTAAACTTATTTTAATCGATTACTACTTACTCCGTACTTACAGGGTGCATTGTTAATTTGACTAAAGATATAATGGTGTGCAAAAAAAAAAAAAAATCTACTGGTTGGAGAGTCAGGCATATAGACACATAAAGTCCTGAGAAGAAAAGAACTAAGTGTATTGACTTTCTTTCTGCAATTACCTCATTTCAAGATACAATGGCCATGTCATGTATAAGTAAATGAAAGTAAAGTTTACTCTGATTAAAGGAAAAGGGAAATTCATTGACTCACATAAAGCCTAAGATTTGATTTTCAGACAAAGGCCTGGTCCAGAACCTAGTTCTTTCACCATTTCTTGGTTCTCCTTCCTCAGCTTATAATCATTCTTGGGCAGTCTCTTTCATTTGTGGTTCCAAGATGATTATCAGTGTCCTTGGAGGCTACATGCTCCCTTATTCATGTCCAGCAGGAATGACAGGTTGAATTTCCTGACAGTTCAATTTCAAGCAACTTGAATCAGACTCAGTGCCCACAATTGGCCTGATTTAGATCACGAATCCATCCTTAGATTTACTATGGTCAAACACTTTTGATAAACCACTTGGCTGAAGAAAATAAAGGCCCATTTCTGCAGCTGAGGTCAAGGAAACATACAAGCTCTGTGGCTGGGTAGCTTAAGGTCCTGTTTAGGAAAGGAACAGTTTGAGGATAAATTTGAGGAAAGTACTATAAATATTCTCTTTACCCCGCATCTTTGTCTTCATTAACCATCTGGAAGCCATTGCTACCCTTTTAAAGTAGTATGTTATTAGGTGTTTAGCAGCTGGCTGTATGTGGGTGGTGGGATTCTCATCTGTAGGATTTGCTAATTTTCAGAGTGTAAATACTCTCGCTGTGGCCAACATCACTCATGCAAGTTTGGGAAAATATGTTCAATTGTGCATCATTACACAGCCTTCCCATCATGCAGATAGATTAGATGCAGATAATCCCAAGAGAATAGAAAATAGTAAGCATCTAGTAGTTAGAAGTGTTGAGTTTTGCACATGTATTTCTTTTGTTTTAATATGGTTTAATTAATTATAAGTTTAAATGGTTTGAATTTTAGTAATGGCTATGTTTAACAACTGACATTCAAAATTCTTGAATATCTAACAATTAACCTCAAGAGTCAGTGCTAGCCATCTCTTAGCATACTGTGCGTAGCCTTTTGGTTAAACATTTCATTTTGTTCACTATTAGGTTTTTATAGTAATCCATTCATATGTGCCCAATTCCACCTTGGGCTGGTCTGCTAGGGTCAGAGCTAAGGCAGACTTTTGAGGATTGACCTAGAATACACAGAGACAAAGGAAATGTCCCAAAACAGACATGCCAAACAGAGGACTTGGAAGAGTAAAGTCAAGAAGTACAATCTGCTGAAAGGAGCAAGAGTTGAGTCTAAGACTGAAAACTGGAGACACAGGGGGAAAAAACAGGAACTGGATAAATGTAAGCATAAAGGATGATCTTAGTAGCTGTGGCTGGAGTAATGCAAGTAAATAAACAATATTACCCAGTCTCAGCTGTTCACATGTAATTCCTGCTACACCATGCTGGCAAGGTTTACTAGCTTCAGATTTGCTTCTGCTTTATCATTTTCAGTGCATTTTGAATCTTGTTCTTTTGGACCAATTATCGTTTTAGAGGGGGAAGCAGGAATGCAGTTTGGCACTATGAGCTTAAGGCTCTCTGATTTTCCCTGGTTCAAAAGCTTTTGTGGTCTTCTTACTGCTTGAGATTATGGCAACAGTAGAACTTTTATAGAAATGGGGCTTCTATGCAGTAAGCAATAAAGAGAGTTTGGGGGATTGGGTCCCACCATGCAGCCTAGAAATGTAGAAGGAGACTCTGAATGATGAAATCCCTCACTCCCAACATCTCAAAAATTGTAAGGCTGAGTCCCTGGATCCATTTGAAGAAGAAGAAAAAAAAAAAAGAACAAAAGGTGTAATTCTGGATGACAGCAGGGGTTCACTGAAATGGGAGGAAAGAGGAAAGGGAGAAGATAGAGAAGATTTAGAGAAGCCTATCATTTTAGCACATTAGTGATTATTTGTAATCAAATGAAAGATAACCAGTGGGAGTCAGTAAGTAGTCATTGCTTGCAAAAGGTAAGTACAAAAAAAGAAAGAAAAAAGGAGAGAAATTAAGGAAGGAAAGGAGATAGCAGAAAAGGAAGAAAAGAATAAAATAATTTTGGTTGGGGCAAGGAGAAATCTAGTTATAAAGAATAATCACACACACACACACACACACACAAACAAAGTTAAATATCTAACATAATCAATAAAACACACCCTTAGAAATAATTAGAACACTTACAAGGAATAAAGACACTGTGGGTAGAAAGTGTGATCATTTCTTACCATCTTTTTATATTAGTGAGGATGTGTTATGTTGTGCTTTTGTAATAAACATCACAGAAATGATGATAAATTCAAGTTCTCTGCAGGTCCACGTAATTTAGCAACTCTTCCCTACATGGTAACTCATTTGCACCATATGAAACAGGAGGCATTCTTGGTTGATTTTGCAGAGAAAGAGGGCCCTGGAGTCTTGTGCTGCATTTAAAATGCATTGACTCAGAAGGGACATATGTCCCCTTTGCATATAGCCATCGGACAGTGACATGACCCTGTCTTGGTACAATAAGTTCTCTCTCAGTTTCCTGGCTGTCATATCTTGAGCCACTTTCCTTCTGCCATAATGTTCTGTCTCACCTTGGGCCCAGAACTATGGAGTCAGCACACCATGGACTGAACCTCTGAAACTGTGAGCCCAAATAAATTTTTCTTCTTCTGTGTTGTTCTCGTCAGGTAACTGGTCATAGTGATGCCAAAGCTTACTAAAACAATACACACCAAATCGTAGAGAAGAGCTAGAGAAAGTCCGTGAGGTAAAGGTAAGAATGAGAATCTGAAGGAAGGGAAGGTATTCAAGGGTATGGGATTTTTCCAAATAGCTGGAGGGAGAAAAGCAACCCATAAAATAGGAAAACCATGGATTGGCTCAGCTGAAGGGAATTTTGGGGACAAAGATACTACGTTGTGCATGCGGGGTGAAGAGAAGAGAGAATAGCAGGAACAGCTGACCTCTGAGGAAGAAAACAGTCACTGAAAATGAGAGCAAGATTTCATTCAGAAAAGGACAGCACTTTGAAGAGGTTGTGTTTTGTGCCAGAGGATCAAGTGGTGTACAAGTCTAAACCACATTCAGTTAAATGCTTGATAAGAACTCATAATCATTTGGAAGGTAGTTCTTCCACTGTTTCTGAC